TCCTTCCTTCCTTCCTTCCTTCCTTCCTTCCTTCCTATGCTACTTGACTCCCAGCAACTCTATTTCTGAAAGTGGTTGAATGTATAAGTTCCCCGTTCATAAAACAGTGTGAAAATTCACCCCAATTTTACACATTTGGCAAATTCTGCCAGTAGGCCTTTAATTGATCTGGTTAAACCTGTCACACAAACACTGCTCTTATATACCCACATTGCCACTCCGAACATAATAAAATTAGAGAGAAAACCATGCTTTCACATAGCGCTCCTTAATAAGGGTATGGACTAACTCATCAGCTTCTAGCAGAGTGAATCCCTGCTTAACGGAGTGAGTTCCCATTACTTGTCCAGCTTCTGTCAACGTAGCAGTTCGAAAGCATGTAAAAATGCAAGAAAAAATAGGAACCACCTTTGGTGGGAAGGTAAGAACGTTCCATGCACCTTCGGCGTTTAGTCATGCTGGCCCATGATCACGGAAACATCTTTGAACAGCACTGGCTCTTTGGCTTTGAAACAGAGGTGAGCACCATCTCCTAGAATCAGGAACAACTAGCACATATGTGCAAGGGGAACCTTTACCTAATGTAGTGCTCTTGGCTGAACCTGAATTATCTGCCATGAGTATTAAGTAAACTATAAGATGCCACAAGGAGCGTGTGGGGAGGAGATAGGCTCGATGTGTGTGGCAAATCTACCTTAATTTTGTGAATGTGACCGCAAGTGTATAGGAGTGTATAACCAAAACTGAGTTGTAAGTAGCTATTTTGGGCGGTGACAGTGTCCGTCATAATTTTGAATGTTAACTTCATGTCATAAGCAAATAATCATAAGTCAGGGACTACCACTGAAGGAGGCAGTATATGGATATGATAAAAAGACGGATAGTTTTCCAGATCAGAAAGATACAGTAAGGTACAGAGGATGATACTGGTGGAAATTAGGTGTGCTGTTTTTCCTTTTTTTCTGTTCCTGCTTGTTCTTCCCTTTCTGCTGGTTAGTTTGCTTGCCCTTTCTTGCCCTTTAAACCTGTCCCTCTAAATAGCTTGCTATTGCCCATTCATCTTCTCATTTTCTCAATTTTGTTTGGTTTAAAACTAACTTTGTTTAGAAGCTCAAGCTGCCTAGACTCGTCTTGAGAAGATGGGCACCATAGAGGTTTAATAGTATATTATGCTTGGTGCTCTACCTCCATCTTTTCTCTCATAAAGGCAACACTTTTGGGGAGTTGAACTTCTCTCTCTTTCTCAATCAGAGGCAGTCTTACTCCTGTCTCTTATTGTTCAACTCTTGGAAAGTGTTGCCTTTCTGAAAGAAAAGATGGAGGTAGAGCACCAAGCATATTGTCATAGTATCATTCCCAGCTCTCCTCATTTCCTTTCTCAGGGGCCAATTTTATTTTTTTCGATCTGATCCTTAAATAGAGCATGAGACTAACAGTCTAGATTGGAGATGGGGAATATTAGCCCAAGAGTGTTGGGTTATCTTATGGCATTTTGGGCTTTTCTGTGGGGGCTTCCTCATTTTGGAATGCTCCCTCCCCCACCTGAAATGTGTAAATTGGTATAAATTGCATCTTTTTTTAATGACTCTTGAAATGTCCCTTATCCACGGCACCCTTGGATAAATGGTTCTTTTTGCCATACTAAACGATTTCCAATTTTTTATTTATGTATACAATAATGTATGCTTGCAAGATTTCTTGGCCACCCTCCCTGAACCAATCTCTCTAAATTGCAGACTATGGTAAACTGAAGCATTTCTGTCCTGCCAATATATATTGGATGGACATTTTCCAACCGATGCAGATAGTCTCAGAGGTAGGAAGGTCTCAAACTGTAAAAGACCCTTCAGTGGTGGCCAGCACTTTGAATTGAGCTGGTCGTTGCTAAAATTAAATATTGTTTAATTTGTTGTGTACCAACACAGCAAGACAATGAAGATATCAAAGCTGCATCTGTAAACCCCTTAAAGAAGGCATAAGCAAATAGTGTTGTACACATCATTTGAGTTGTACTTGCATCTGAGTCACACTGCTTCAAAGCTTTGCTTAACTGTCCTGCTTGTGCATTGCTTTTTTCCCCCTGCTTATAGTACAACATTTGAAGGGAAAGTGTGATTGCATTATTTTGCTAAGCTATGGATTAGTTAACCAGGGATTTCTGCATAAGTTGCAACTGGCCAAATTCACGAAGCTGTAAAGCTGCTAAGCATAATTGCTAACTGGTTTCAACACACAACAAAGCAGGAGTCCCCAACCCCCTGTGGGACTGTGCACCCATGTGGCATGTCAGCAACTGGGCTGCGCAAACAAGCGAAGCCTCATCCTCGGGATGCAGGCAGCATGCTCTCTCCGGTCTGTGAAAAAAACCTTTCTCTATGGAAGGGGTCCCTGGTGCCCAAAAGGTTGTGTGTGTGTGGGGGGGGAGGGGGTTGAGGAAGGCTGCAACAAAGTCTTGAAAGGAGAATTGTTTCTGAGGTCAAGGGTTACATTTTTTTGTTTTTACGCTGGGCTGTGTGTGTCTGTGTGTATTTAAGGGCTGTAAGGAGTATTGGTAACACAGTCTTGTTCTAAGGAGAGAGCATAGATCTGATCTTAAGTCCTTTTTTTAAAAAACAGCTTGTGGTTTAGTAAATTAAATCTTCAGCTAATTAAAAGCTTAACTGTTTCTTTTTTAAAGAAAGCTTCTAATTTTGTCATTTCATTTTTGCATTTTTCAATTTTGGGACGGATTAGGTAAAATAGATGAGGTAGATTGCATTGATACCCTGGTTAATTGGAGCATAAGAAGCAGGCTTCTCCCAAGTCAGCCTATTAGCTCATCCTGTCCCTTACTTCTTACTCAGTTGGCTGCAGCTTTCCTCAGTCAGAAGCGGAGGTCATTCATTTAATAGGCTATCTAGTTTTTAATGAGATGGCCAGGAAGACCTTCTGCCTGCAAGGCATGTGTGTTACTGTTAGTCCCTCATCTAATGTTCTCGTTGCTTGCAATTTCATTCCAGCCAATGCTTTACAAAGAGGTCATGTCGTTTGCAGCAACCTGTAACAATGCCCCCAAATCTTAGCTGCCAAAATCCAGGATGACCAGTAGATGGCAGCAGAGATCTTTTTGATAGAATTTTGGGGATAGCTTGAGTCTTAAACCTCAGATCTGGTAGAACTCCATCATGATGGAAAGAGTGAGGCTACAA